TACTACTACTACTACTACTACTACTACTACTACTACTACTACTACTACGACTACCACATGGTCCTCTATATTACTCTACTCGCTTATAATATAGGTCTCTCAACCTCTCTTGGTATGGAGCAGCACCACGGAGTGAGTTCGGGTGGTTTATGGATCTTCCCTGACTAGACATGGATTTTCCCTGACTCCAGAACGACCCTTGACTACTATGCGCGCTGGGCTGAGATGCCGTATTTGGAGATCCTTCTTTGACTTTGTTCAGAATCAAGGAAATGAACTCATGGGGATTCGTTAGGAAATGACTCTAGGTTGGCCTATGTTGCCCCTGATGGTCAAGCTACATGGTGGACCAGGGCTCCAGGTTTTGACCAATTTTGATCCATTCCAATAGTGCCATGAAGCTCTGATTCCAGTGCAGCTTCTTCCGGAAAGCTCAGGCTTTGCCCCCAATGGCTTAGGTCGTCGCCCCATAGCTTGTCGCTCTCCGTTGCCCGACCTCCTTGCGGGCGTCGCCCATAACGAATTCCCTTCCGGGTCTGGAAAACAACCCACGCTGCACGCGACTGGTGCGAACCTAAGACGACGGGACGACGTGACGACACGTGCGAAGCAAATGCAGCCCAGGTTCGTAGGTAGATTCCCAACCTCAGAAGATCCATCCATGGCGATCATTTGAGAAGATAGTGCTTCTGCGTCTGTTGCGTCTGCGTTACTCTCTCTCCACAAAAACAAGCCAACGATGAAAAAGAATGTCTATAATATTATTTAGGAACACCTGGCCGCCTTGCTTCAAACTTCGATTCTGGAAGCCCAAACTTCAGTAATTATACTTACACAGTGAGGCCTCCTGTTTTCCTCGCACCTCTTCCGTCCCCGGTGAACACTTCCGTCTCCCCGTACCTGCCCCCGCTGCCCCGCTCCGTACTCCGGTAGCCCCCCCGTACGACCGAGGAGCTTGTCGTCCGCGGAGATCTTCACCGGGACCTCGACCGTGTAGCCGAGGAGCTCATGCAGATTCTCCTGGAACCTGCGAGCGCTCGGCGTCTCGGCTTGGCGGCTTGGCTTCGCGCAATAAGGCTCGTAAGTGCTCTGCGCACAACGTAACGACCGGTGCACTGAGCTACAAGAAGTATATGAGGTACTTTGAAAAAGCCTTTTGGTGGGTGTAGGTGTATGTATCATAGTTGTCTCACCAAGCATAATATTGTCTGATTCTTATGCCTTCACTGCGAGTGATGGTCTGCGCCTTCGTCCAGCCATGCAGCTGACATATGCTTTGATCACACAGGTTCAACACCCCCACAGCCGCCCACAGCCCAAGGACATTCATTGGTTCAGAACGCTCTCAGAAGGTGTTCGGACGAGAAGATGCTCCACCAGACCCCCGACTTCTCCGCCGTCGAAGCGATTCATTTCGACATCTTCTCCAGTTCCAACGAATGGTTCTTAGTGCCGGGCTAAGAAAGGTAAGTAAATCGCACCCCGACTTCCTCCCAGTTCAACACGTCTTTGGAACTAGCTGGTATCCATTATGTATCCCATGTTCGGTAATTGAAGTCGGGTCCAGGGCTCTTGAGATGTTCATTGGGCAACCTGAGCCGTTTCGACTTCCCTTCGGAACATCGGAATCCCATCGTTGGAACCCCGGCAGCGGCCGACCGACCGTTTTCGGCTCCAAGCGTCCGCTCTTCAATGTCCTGCGGAGAGCGGAGAGTGGGCCTGTTCTGAGGACCCCAAAAAGGATTACCCAGACGCGACCCTGGACCCTCCGTTCAGTGGGGGCCGGAGCTTCTCACCAATCCCTAGGGTTTGGTTCGGGACCAAGAGCTGTTTGGAGCGTCTGGGTAGAACAACATATGAACCGAAGACAGAACCAAAAGGGCAGGTCCATGAAAGAGAGGTATGTGTTTGTTTTTGTTGGAGATGTCCCAGGTCCACTTGCAGTATACGATAGTATACATATGACTCGCCCGTATGACTCATGGTAAGCTTTCCCCAAAACCAACAAAAATTTGTCGACAGCTCACTTTAGCCTCTTGCTCCTTGCATTCTAGTTTTATTGACGACCTGGCTCAAATGTCAATGTCACAATCTTTGATGGCAGGGATTTGGCAGGATGGCCATGCCATCGAAGATGGTGCGAGTGCGCTGCCGACCAAAAGAGAATCACTCCACTTGACTGACATCAAACTCTTTGCTCCCTCCAAATTCTGTGGGGATGCGAACACACCTAGAACACCTTCTAGCCAATCCATGCCAATCCTCTCCAGTTTCCAGGACTATTCAATATATTTAATGTGTTCACGTGTTTCGACACACCTGTACTTGCATTTAATCTCAATGATACCTGCTGGGGCCACACCATGTTCTTCAAAAAATGCCTTGTGACTCTCCCCACCCCCGACCCCGCGTGGCGTGCGTCTCATGGCCTCCTGTTGATGGCGCGCTCGAGTCATGACCCACTCCTGCAAGGCCTCCTCGACAAACTTCTCGTCTTGTGCATCAATCGCCAAATTGTTCTCACCTCTAACGACCCGCATCCACTCTCCCCGCGCGGTCTGCGCTTCATCGACTCGACTCGACCAAACCAGCGGACCGGACATGGACATGAGGAAGTGACGCGGGGCCCGTTCAGGTGACAGGAGGAAGAGGACGCTTTAGATAGATGTTATGCTTCTGAAGGAAAAAAACGTGGGACATTGTTTGGTGGAAGTGCAACTTGATGGCAAAATGGGGAAACGCGCTCACAACTGCAAGAACATACCCAGGTACCCTTACAAGACCGCCCAAAAAATGCTTGACATGTGATGACATGTGTTTTTGTAACTCAGAAAGTTTCATTCAATCGTGGGTGGACTTCCAGGGCCAAAAAAAGCCTGCAAACATGTAGAAATCCTCCCTGGATCCTGAGTCACCCACTGGGTCAACCCCCCACTACCAGGAGGACGATCCGGACGGTCCGTCTCGATCCTGGAAGTGACATATTTATATATCTAGACCCAGTGTGGGTGATGTCCACAGTGTTTTAGTGGCGGCCCATATCAGTGACGCTTAGCGGAGGCGCGCTCCTTGCTAGCTGAAATCTACTCCAATTCCCTCAACTACTAGCTGTATCAGCTATAGGTCAACACAGATGCACATGTGCAGGCACCGTAGCCATTTTGGCTCAAGGTACACATTGGGCTAGTGCTGCACAGCTAGCCTTTTTGCCCTACGACTCCAGGCGTGTCCTTTTTGCGAACTTACAACATGTCAGATTCAAGTGTCCCTAAGTGACTGGAGAACCGGCACCCCTAACCTCCATTAAGCACCTATACCTGTTTGGAACTGCTAACTTGAAATCTGCCAGCTGCTTCCGTTCGGGGTCACCTGGCTGGATATCTCCACACTACGTAAACAGGTCTCCTACTCCAGGGCACCCAGCCTTGGAAGCGCTAGGTGTGGCTAGGTCGATGTGGTTCTCTCGATCATGTTCTCTCACTCTTGTGTGATGTGTCTGGGGGTCTTCTCACTTCGCCCGTTCCTCGTCACCCGAAGCACCGGACCTTCTTCGGCTCGGACGCTCTCATGGAGATCTTGAAGGATGAGTTCCTTCGCACTGGAGGCTGATGACCCGGGGGCACCCCAGCGGTTGGGTAACTCCGGTTTGGTCTGGGACTGCTTCGGAAAGAGGTTGGTTGAGTTGGTCGTCTTCGGAAATGGATCTGGTCCTTTTGATAGACTTCTTCATGCAAGCCAAATTAGACCAAACTGGGTGGTTTTTGTGATGTATATAGCTCAGATTGATCGCTTGATAGGATATCTGAGGGAGATGGAAGTTGATGAACATTATGGAGCCGTGTGGGAGTACTGACTGACTGATCAGCAGATGCTGGAAGTGACATGGCTCATCATACAAGCACAAATGCATGAGAGAATTGCTGATTCTTAGGCTTGGACTCCCAGACCAGCTTGTAGGCTGGTATGAAGAGGCGAGTGCCAATCCAACGGGGTGGGGTGGGTTTCTTAAATCAATAGTCTACTACATTGACCAATCATCTACATACCAAGCACCTACAAGCACCCACCCAGCTTGGGGGTAGGTTTTCCCAGACTGCGGTTACCCCCAAAAGCCACGTCTTGTTGCGGTCAGGTTCTGTTCGGCGCCGCCGTTCGGCGGTGCTGAGCTCCAACTCCAAAGCCTCTCCCCACCTGTCGCCTACCTGTCCCCCCTGGCGCCTCAGAGGGCCGTGGAGACCACTCTGCGGTCAGGCCCTGTCGAGGGCGTCGGTCCGGCGGGGCACCGGCCGATGGCCGTGGAGGCGCTCAATCAATGCGGAGAAACAAGAGTTACGAATCACTGGTTGCAGAGTGATGCCAATGGGGATTTCCTATTATTTGACCCCATATTTACCCTTTACATCCCACTCTTGTTGCTTGGAGGGTCACTCGCGAAAACCCACTTGCTCGGTGTGCCAAGTCTTACACCACCTCCACCTGGTCCGGAGCCGTCCAGATCCGAACGGCCTATCTACCAACAGAGGTATCCAGTGACCTGAACGTTCGGACCCGGAACACCTGGGGTACCCTGGCCTAGGATAGTCTAGTTCGGGTTCTGACCCACCGAATGCTGGTATACCTCAACAGAGGTGGATAGTGACCTGAACGTTCGGACGATACCCTGGGATAGTCGAACGATCGGGTGACCTGACCCACCGATATACCCCAGTCACGCGACTTGTCTGGGACTGCCATAGGACTGCCTATATACATTGACCCCCCAAACCCACCACCCCTGGCCTGATCGGCAGTCCTATGGCAGTCCCATGGAGCGTCTGGATACTATACTATATAGCCTTGGACGGGCCTACATAGTATAAAGGCTATAGTATCTCAAATTGATACCTTCTATACTATAGCCTTTGTCCTACCCCACATCCATGAGTATCTATAGCCGTTGTCCCCCTTAGCGCGTCGACCTGCGTGTCTGAACCGGAGTTCGCACGTCACACGCCGGCCGTCGCCTGGTGCGAATCCATGCCATGGCTCGACCCCGCAAACCGGTGGAGCTCGTCGACGCAAAGCGGTGGAGCTCGGAGCTTGGTTCAAAAGTGCTGCTCTTTCTGGTGGAGCTTTTGGGTGGAGGCCATGGAGGTCACTTTGGTGAAGGTAACCAAAAACGTCAATCCGTGAATTCGTGGTCGAATAGGAAATCCATTCGTTGGTTTGGCCTCTTCTTTGCTTTGTTCTGGTGCATGTTCCGCCCAACCCTTTTCGTTAAGTCCGCGAACTTGGGGGGTCTTGAGGTCGGAGGGTTTCACTTGTTGCAGTCCGCGAACTGCCAATCCTCCCATCCGGCTGGCAGAGTTGGGAACTAACTGCGGTCTGAACTTCCATGGTCTGAACTTCGGCACTTCTTGAGCCCACACGGACACACGGAAGATCGCCAAGATCGGCGATGGTTCAGGGCACAAAGGTCCTGGTGCAATCCCTCTATGCATCGAATTCACATCTCTGATTGGGAGCATGAGGACATGCCACCATAGACTCAGTCGCTACGCTCGCGGTTCTGAGGAGCTTCAACCAGGACTTCCAGGATTCCCAAAGCGATCAACATCTTAATTTGAATGCTGATAATATGGTGGTCACAGAACATTATAACACCTTCCCAAAAGGATAGTCCATTGGGGTAGTCATGCCCAAATTGAGCTGGAAGCGTTGGCACCAAATGCAGCGAACCTTTTGGTCGACTTGATTTCCAGGGAACCTTCTGGTCATGTACCAGATATCCATCTATTGAATACTTGCCTAACCTTGGGGATGATTTAAAGATGTTTCAAGGGTCAATGTAGGTATCAATTGAAATTGTATCAGTCCCATGCATTGTTGAGGAAATGTACCAGGAGGTACCCACTAATGACTCCACTGGAGGAACCTGCCGATCCACGTTGGACCCGTTGTCCTTGGGTGCTTTTGCTTCACCCGTGGTTTGGGTGTCCAGTGCATCAGGAGGCTCAGTATATGAGATCAATATGTTCAACTTTCAACCCCCACAATATATATATTATATATAGCTTAAAGTTACAGGGGTGTTCCAAAGCGTCTCCATTGTTAGGGGGGTATTACTAATCAAGAGTCAACATTACATAGCTTGGATTAGCTTGGTATTTTCCATTCGGACCTTTGACGTGCTCTACACCGTCGCACTTTCACGTACCAGCACCGCCGCAACCGCCTGCTCGGCCAGCCGCCTCCGCGCCGCCTCGGCGTTCTGCGCCGGCACCTCGTGGCGGAGAACAAGGAAGCTTCGATCGGGACGCGAGAATGCGCGACATGAGGTGAAACGAGGAACAGAAAATGGTGTATTTTACAGGGAAATGTAGGGATCAGGTGTCAGTCCACATGACAATGTATGTCCAGAATGCCAAGAACTTGAAAAGGATTGGAGGACAATGACTGGGTCACTGACCCCAAGACCTCCCCCCCAAACCAAAAATGTGTCAATATACTCTATGATATTTACGCCATTCCTACCAGGACCGACACCAAGAGGTGTCTATAAGTACCCTCGTCTGAGGTGTCTGAGGTGTCCAAAAACCACCGGACTTGGAAGGTCCTGGCATACAGGATATAGATCTGAAGGTTCCTCCACCCCACCTCAGCTATGCTTCCCCCCGCTCCACCCCTCTCTCAACCCGTCTTCCTGCCCGGTCGCCATGTGGCCGCCGGGCGCAAAGGCCACTAAAGGACCGGCCTGGCGTCATCCATATGCAGTCATATACGCTAGGGCCTCCAGTCGGACCGAACCTGAGAAGGTGGGACTAGGGTGGGTGCCATGTTCGGGTCCAGTCATACCGAACCTGAGGAGCTACGACTGGAGCCCTAGGGACAGTCATGCAGGAAATGATCTTCTTGAAAAGGATGATAGACGGATGGGGGCTAATCTCGGCTGAATGGGTCTCAGCTATAGACATAGACATTCGACGACGGAGCCGACCAAATAGACCTGACCTGACCGAAGCCTACGTGGTCCGGGCCATGTGGGGTGACTTTTCATGGACCTCCCTGACACCAGAAACACGAGGGGGGCCCTTTTTGGCTCACCCCGAAACAGGGGGCCCTTGGTTGTGTGGATGTGACTTTCCCCGCGATCGCTGGCCAAACTCTGACGAATCTCTCGCATCTCTCGCATACCAGAGGTGGAGAGTGACCTGAACGTTCGGACCCGGAAAACCTGGGGTACCAGACTGGGACAGTCGAACGTTCGGGTAACCTGACCCACCTCTGTTGACTCGACTTCCGTCGGAGGAGTCGGGGGCTCCTCCGTACGTCGGACCTGTCTCGTGGTCATCGCACAGCCATACGGCGTAGGTTCATGGATAGACATGTGAGACATGCTGGTTCGCCCCATGGTCCATTCAACCAACCCCGAGAAAAGCGGGTCATGGAAATCTTGTGCGGTTCAGAATTCATCGCTGAACTTCGTGAAATCTCCCGATCTCCCCAAGCGAACACTGCACCACTTTCCTCTTTTAACACAAGAGAGCGGCGCCTGGCTACCTGGCCAATGCAAAAAGGATGGTTCAGGTTGATCAACTTGACATATCTGGTGAATTGTCATTTCATTTACAGATCTTGCACATCCCTGCAACTGTCATGGAATTTCTGTGCAATTGACGCAGACCCCGCGCGTGTTTTGTAGGTTTTCCTGCAGCCCACGAGCTCACAGCACCGTCTGCAGCCCCCGGTCGGTCCAACGGCACGCGAACGAGAAATAAAGGTTCAACCGACGTGAGGCGGGGGCAAAACTCGTCTCTTAAATGACCCTACACCTCCAGTCGTAGCTCCTCAGAAGGTGTTTAGACCCTCCTGGCACCCACCCCAAACACCTTCTCAGAAGGTACGACCGGAGGCTTAGGGTGATCTTTTGCAGCCGGTCAAGTGTTTTTGCAACTCAACACTACGCCACATACAGCTCACAATGTATCGCAGAGGTCGCAAGAAATCGATCGAATGATTGGCATGTCCTATTGGCCAACCCTGGGACACTGTTGCCAAGTTGTCCTATGGCCATCTATGACCCCTCCTGCATGTTCAATTGACACATGCAAACACACACCACCCTTGAATGATTGCATATACAAACATGGAAACGCATATAGGCATGCGGCATACGTTGAATTGAGTTGGCTCAAACTAATGAAGTAAATCATTATCAGTTGTCCCACGATTTATTTTGGGAGAGGTTCATCGGTTCATCTTTCCAGCAGCTATGTGACCTTATGACGCTACATCATATCAAATCAACCTACAGGTGAAGGTCAAAAAAACCTCCTCGGGTTCCGCTCATCGCCCGAGGAAGTTCCATCCTACTCATAGCCCAAAGGGTTATCGCAATAGGTTCCGTGCAAAACTACTTGCAGAGCTTGCAGTGAATCGTGAGCTTGCATCCTCCAGCCAAGAAAGCGCTCCTTTGGAATTCATGGACGGTAGCTCGGCTCGTTGTTTAGCAAGTCATATCAACTCGATGATTGGCCGTGCCGTTACAGGTGTCATAGTCAATTCCAGTGCCCTGGCAGCCACCCCACTGCAGCACTGTGGCTGAAAACAATGAGAGCGGCGTTCCTCCACCCAGCGGCTTGACCCAGTGGGAGCGGCTTGCCATTTATCAAAATGTTCAGCCTTTTCCTTCCATTTCACGAATGGTTCCTGGCTTTCTTCCCGTTTTTCATGAACAGTTCCTGTTTTTGACAGGATTTATCAATGAGTAGCTCCTGTATTCTTATGAATAGTTCCTGGGCTTGTTGGGTCATTGTTATGAATAGCTGAATAGCTCCTACGTAAGGTTTATGAATACTCTCAACATACAGCATGTCAGACCATGGCAACCCATGATGTTTAAAGTTTTGGAACTGCCGATGTTGAATCGGCCTCGATCGAATCCAACGTATCAAGCTCCATCTTGTTTGATGTGGCGGCACTCGTTTGTCAAACCTGTGAAGTTGGCGAAATACAGACTGCCAGCAATGTCAAGAGTCTCATCTACTTTGATGTGCGTGTGTGTGTGTGTGTCAGTAAAGTTTCAAAACAAGAAGCCAAGGATCCAACGAAGCCCACCAGAAATGAGAAAATTATCTATCGTCCATGTGCGGCAGACTGTGCCACCCTTTTTCAAGGCAACCCAATGGCCAGGGAATAAGGCTTGGAAACAACAGACTCAGCAGGCTTGTAACGAGAGACAGAGACAGCCTTCATCCCGGAATTCTGGCACCAGCCAGTCATTCATGATGAGCGTCAAGTGTTCTGTCACGAGTAAGCTATCGGAGAAGTTTGCAGAAATGACAGAACCCTGATCCCACAAATCTGGCACCATGAGCGTTTCTGGATCCACTGTACACGTAGATCCATCCTTCAAGGGTCTGTCTCCAAATGGAGCCCTGCAGAATCCGGCAAATGAACCCCAAAAGACAAACGATGTAAAATTCATATGATATATAATGGCACATGCTAATGGCACAGTTGCAGCAATCCATCTTCAACTATATAGTCTATGGCATGTGCCCATGTGTGCATCTAGGACCGTCTTTCGCACTTATCTTGTCCTAGCTAAGTTAATGAATATTCTGCAAGATCTATCAGTAATTATAGTTATACCCTCAAGACTTTCAACACTCACTCAATACATCTCAACTACTATACCTGGACCCTCCTGTCGGGGTGTCCTGGCTGGACTACCCCACACTACCTATAGGCTTCCAGACAGGGCACCCCTTGGTGTCGGGTCCTGGTACATAACAAAAAACACTGCAAACCTCTATCGAAGCCTTCTTCCCTCAATTACATCCCGCGACCGTTCCCAAGCTAACCTCAGTTCCTGCGTCATACCTCGAACCCCCAAACAACCAGAAAAAACAACAGTTTTCCCCGGTCCCGACCACTTATGTACAAGATTGTACAACTAAAGGATCGAAAAATTGCAAGCCATCTAATTATTGGAACAACCCATTGGTTTCTAGAAGATCATCTCTCTGGACTGAACTGGATGGAACTGGTTGTACTGGAACTGGTTGTACTGAACAATGGATGAACTGCATGAACTGGATG